CAAATGAGTAAAATTTTTCACTGGTATCAATACCAAGTATAGTTAAAAAAGCTTTAGAAAAATGTGGTGTATGTGTGTGTGTATGACTTGAATAAGTTTATTTTGGATTTTCATGAACATATCTTTGATTTTGCTCTTGTATATTTAAATGATACCCTGTAATCAAAGCAAAAACAGTGCATAATTGGCACTATGATTTTTTTTAATGTTTATTTCTTGAGAGAGAGGGGGAGAGAGGAGCAGAGAGAGAATGAGATAGAGAATCCCAGGCAGGCTCCACACTGTCAGCACAGAGCCCAACATGGGGCTTGATCTCACAAACTGTGAAATCCTGACCTGAGCCAAAATCAAGAGTCAGAGACAGTTAACTAACAGAGCCATCCAGGTACCTCTTATTATATTAGCATTTCTTATAATTCCAAATATTTGAGGATTTTAGAAAAGATAATTTGCAAACCTGTTTTAGATGTATTTGTGTACAACTTAAATTTATACTGGTATAAAGATTAGGGAAAATAAGTGATGAAAAATTATTTGTATTAAGTGTGATGGTAAGCAGAGACAATCTTTCCACTATTGTTCTCCTAGTAAAGTTTCCTTTTTTCTTCACCTGTTCAATAGCAGAGATTTGTAGTTTTTTAACCCCACTGATTTGGGGTAAAAAAGCTACCATGAATTGCCCTTGAAATAAAGGTAAACAGAGGAAGTATTTTAAGAAATTGCTGTTCCTCTTACTTAGCTCTCTCAGCTTGATGCATGACATAGTCTCCTGCATTCCTATTTTGTAACAGCTCCTGATCAAAGGGTAGTAAAATTCTTCAAACTTCTGGGAGTAGCAGTTGTTATGTTTAGCATGTTCTGCATACTAAATAGTAAAATGCTTACATGTATGAGCATTTGGATCAGAGAGACTGATTTTAATTCTTGACTCTAAAATTTATTGGGGGGTATATTTTGTCCATATTTTACTCAGCTGCTGTTATTGTTACTGTTTTTCTTTTTGTTGTGATAATTCTCTCTGATTGATTTTTTTGTCTGGCTGAGATAAAAAGGAAACGGTTGGTATCATTAAAAGTAAGAGTTTTTATTATTGCATACTATATGCCAAGAGCTGCTACAAATGTTTATGTGTATTAATTAATTTGATCTCACCATGCTACTGCCTCAACCAGTAGTCAACTCTACACAGTGTACGATGTATACTATGGATTCTATAATTGCAGCCCACAAAGAGCCCCTCTTCCTAAAGATAGCTGAAGAAGTTTGAGAATTTTTGATTACAGCTTGGGCCATAGAAAAGCTGTACTAAGCAGCATCTCCAATCACAGTCATTGAATAAAATGTGTATTACCTTTCAGTGACCCTGTTACTTTCTGAGTCACATTCTTGGGAAAAGGCAGTGGAGTAAAAAGAGATCGAGTGGTTAGACTACTATCTCTCTCAGAGGAACAAGCCTTTAAGACATATAAGATCAGCTGCTCACTTGGATAGCAATAGAAGTCCATTGTCACATTCTCTATGCATAAGTATTAATTTGAAAGCGTACTGTACTCTTCCATTTTTTAATACTTTCTTCTCTTCTGAGAAGATAGCTAGTGTAGTTATTAATAATTTCCAGAAACCCCAGAATAGATACAATGAGTGACAGCACAGACATCTGTACTTAGATTCAATTGTTTAGACCATGTTGGGTTGGTGCTCTGTGTTGAATCTGAATTTCTTAGAGACTATCCAGTTGCACCGTTAGGATTTGATCTCTCAGTAACTACACTGACTATAAGTGATTAGCACTATCATACACATAGCAAGTTGATGGGCAAGCTTAGGTCTCCCTTATAAGGACTCTACCAACTAAAATCCTTGACTATTTTTATGTAAGTGCTTTATATTTTAGAATCTCCTCTATCTTAACTACAAACTATGTAAGAAATTTCCAGCACATACAGTAAGGAGGATCAACAAATAAGAAACACAGTCATTGTTCAGTCTGGCCCTAGTGATAAAAATACAGACGGATTTGATATATATACACTGCCAGGAAGATTCTACCAATCTTCAAATATGGCTCAATTGGGTAAAATCTTTACAGAAAGAAGCTTTATGAAATGACTCATAGCAATGCATAATAAGTCTATCTCACAGTAAACAGGAACTTCTTAAAAAATTGAATATCAGTCTAAGAGAGTTTGAAAACCACGAAACATTGTACCTACAGTGATGAAAGAGAATAAAATGTGATGCTGAGTTCTCAGTAATCATGATTAGATAACTAAAAGCCTTGATATATCTTTGCGGTTTAATGATAAACAGTTTATATCCTTAAACCATACCATATAGCTATTGGACAAATCTTTATGAATCCAAGTAACACTAACTTGTAACACTAGTCCTAGTAACACTAGTAAGTGTCCTAGTAATACTAACTTCTTCATTTAAAAAATTTTGTCTAGGGGCGCCTGGGTGGCGCAGTCGGTTAAGCGTCCGACTTCAGCCAGGTCATGATCTCGCGGTCCGTGAGCTCGAGCCCCGCGTCGGGCTCTGGGCTGATGGCTCGGAGCCTGGAGCCTGTTTCTGATTCTGTGTCTCCCTCTCTCTCTGCCCCTCCCCCGTTCATGCTCTGTCTCTCTCTGTCCCAAAAATAAATAAAAAACGTTGAAAAAAAATTAAAAAAAAAAATTTTGTCTAAAATGCACTTTAGGAACACCTGGGTGGCTCAGTCAGTTAAGCGTCCGGCTACTGATTGCGGCTCAAGTCATGATCTCACGGTTCGGTTCATGAGTTGGAGCCCCACATCAGGCTTTGCACTCCCAGCGCAGAGCCTCCTTGGGATTCTCTCTCTCTCTCCCTCTTCCCCTCCCCTTCTCACACACTCTCCCTCTCTCAAAATAAACTTTAAATAAAATAAATTTTAAAGAGAAAAAATTTTCTTCTTGTAGTAATATTAGTCATAGAACACTTGAAAATACCAAATCATTGACACAAATATTCCCAATAGAAACAAAAGTGTGTTTTGAATTTTACCAAGACATATTAAAAACTCAAGTTAGAAACGAACCTCAGTGTTGATTTCTTCATGTGCTTTTTTAAAATAAAACTATTACTTTTTTTTGTGGGCATGTAAGTCTCAGTAATCCATGTTTGTCTTTGTTCTTTTTTTAAACATCTTATTCATTTTTCCTCCAGCGAGGTGCGTATGCAAAAATATATACAGAAGGAGGTAGAGTTTTATATATTAATTTATGATAGGAAGGTCTCAAAGAGGTGGTTGAGGATTTCTGGTCAGACAAGACCAAAAAGGTTGTATTTTGGTGAAATACACCTGTAAGCCCTGGAAAGAACACAAGAGAAAACCAAAGGAGAACAGTGAAAGGTAATATGAAGGTGAATTCATTTTGTTATGGTGATACCTGAGGACTAGAAGAACAACACAGCAGAAGGTGACAGCCCAGTCTCGGCATTTCCGAATCTCCAATCCAGCAGATCAGGCAGGCTCCTTGGGTGGCTCAGATAGGAGTTCTGTTGACATTATCTGGAAAGTTTTGCTGAACCAGTATGGCAGAATCTATCAGAATCTCTGTTCATCACCAGCAAATACAGGAAATTAAAGGATAATCGTTTACTGGATTTCTCTAAGGGGATTATTTTGAATTCCTCAAACGAAATTCAAAGATGTCCATCTTTGTGAGGTCAATCATTGGAGTTTTAGTAGTGTTGTTTGGTGGTATCATGTTCCACCGTGTCCAATCGTGACAATCACAATCCTTGTGGCATTGTGTTGGTGTCTGCACATTTGAAGACGTGGTACTTCTTCCAGTTTTATAGCAGGCAAAGCCCTTCACCAGTCAGCCCCTCCAGGGGGTCTGGTGGTATCCACAGATGGACTTGTTTTTGGAATCCTTAGGCAGGTGGACTGGCCTGGAGTTTTGATACATGGAGCCCAGCCTGCTGCCTGGGTATGTAGGAGCAGGCCTGGAGCCTAGATTCACTGAGGTGGGCCTGGTCCTTGAGTCTATTATGATGGACTTGGACCTACATTCTGGGCCCACAGAGGCCAACCAGGCGCTAAGGACAAATAGGATGGGCCTGGACTCTGGGCACACAGGCCTTTGCGAGCATTGGTCCACAAGAGCTGTGGGAGCCACAGGTAATGTAGTGGATCCAGAACCTGGGCTTGAGGAAATGCACTGAGAGCCTGGTGCCCAGAAACCTGCCTGGCGACCAAGGAGCCATCTAGGGCTGCTGGAGCCTGCCAGTGCCCAGATATGCTGGGAGCCTGCATTTATGGGATCTCTGGGAGCCTGGAACTGAGGAAGCCACTGAAGTCAGGGACTGGATTCGCAGGAGCCCACGGAGAGCCTGGTTCTGAGGAAGGCACCTGGAGCCCATGTGGGGCCCCGGCAGCCCATGCCAGTGTGGGCTGGGGCCTGCCTTCAAGGCGCGCTCAAGGAGCCTGGAGCTGAAGAAGTCACCAGAAGCCGCTGGGGCCGCCCGGGGCAGCTGGAGCTGGCAGGCACGGAGGACAGCAGGAAGCCTGGGTTTGCAGAAGTTAGGTGGGAGTTCGGTGCTGGGGCACCTGACTGGGGCCGGCAGACACCAAGAAGAGCCGCGGCTAGGTTCCTGGGAACCTGAGAGCCCACTGAGAGCCTGATGTCGCGGATGCCTGCCGTAAAGCGCGGGGGAGAGCGATAGCGCTGTGGTGCCGTAAGGCACGCTGAGAGCTGGGAGCCTGGTGCCCCAGACGCCATCACGACTGCGCAGCCGCTGGGTGCCGTGGTGAGTAGAGCCCCGTACGTGGGAGCCCGCCGGGAACCACGTAGGGCTACAGGAGTTTAACTGGTGACCGGGCGACCCGCTTTGGGGTCTGCCCTCGTGAGGCGCACATTCACTTCATTGTCTCCCTGTGACTGCCTAAGGCTGCCAGATCCTGAAGGAGGGAGGAGGGGTGTGAAGCTTACTTTCCTGCCCTCCTCAGTGTGCCCTTCTTTCTGTTCTTCGTCCAGATGCTGTAATTCCGTGCTTGGAATCCTTGGCTCCTATGAAGGTATTGTTATATCCAAGGGCATTTTCGGTTTTATCAAGTTATGTTGATATAAACGTGTGCATACTAGCCATGTATTATTTAATCTTTATGTTTGTGATATTTGTTTATAATATCACTTCCTCATTTCCGTTATTTTTGCTAAAACTTGTTTCTTCAATCTCATAAAAACTTGAAGAGTTCTATTGGGTTATTTAAAGCAACTTTTTGCTTGGTTGTTCTGTCTTTTTAATTCAACCTTTTATTTCTCTTTTATTCTGTCTACTTTCTTTGGATTTATTTTGTTTTTCTTAACCCAACATTTAAAAATGTGCCACTTAATTACGGACCCTTAAGTTGGTCCTATTCAACCCCTCCTTGTAAATCTGGGTCTTCTTCTTCATCTAAGTAGGAATTTCAACCAGAAGCATCTGTATTCATTATCCTAACTCTAAACCAATTACCTGCATTCTTTCCACTCCAAATCCAAATCCCATGATGCAGTATTTTTGGACATTAAAGTTTGGGTTATTTTCTTTGAATGGGACACAGGAAAATATTAACAGATGAAATAGTTCTCTTTTTTTTTTAATTAGCTGAAGCCTCTATTCTTAGTGTAGCTTTCATTTTTTTTAAATTAAGGATAAATGTTTGAAATTATCAGTTATATTTTGTGCATCTACTGATAAATGATTTTTAATTGATTTATGATTATAATCCTTTGGGCATTAAACTACAGGCCTTTAGTTTCCTGAAAAAGATGTTGTTTGAGTGTGTTGTAATCTTCTAGTCAGATTGCTAATATTTACTTTGTTATTCCTCTTCATTTGTAAGGGAGACATAAGTTTCTCTTGCAACTCAAGCATGACATATCTTTTTTTTTCTTTAATTGGTTATTATCTTTAATGAAAATATGTCTGTATTTTCACCCTCCCATTTTTAAATATGGAAATTTGGTACACTATCCCATATTCTCCACTTTACCACTTTTAGCTATTTTGCTGATTAAGTTGAGTATGTAGATTCATGTGATGATAATAAAAATGATGACAATGATACAGGGATGAGAGATGATGATGATACTTTTATATTACCGGTAACTTTTCTGTGTATAATTTTCCTAACAGTGAAAATAATTTCTATAAAAAATTACCCCATATTATACAAATTTATTTCACTAATATGCAGCATCTTTCAGAACTGCCTTTTATTCTAATTTTTCATGTCATTTTTTGTTTGTTTTCCTCTCTCTCTCTCTCTAAAATGACACACCATCTCTGTTTCTATGACCAAAATGATAAGGCCAGAGTACTTTTGGTGGTCTACCTCAGGTCAAGATTCAGTATGGGTTCAGTTAACTGTGGCCAAGAAGGCAAAAGCACGAGGCAAAATTGTGCAGGCCTAAGAGTTGAGAGAAGAATGAAATCCATTCACTTTGCTTACCAATTTATATACAGTAACACTGTCTGCCCATTGGAAAAGATAGCTGTTATTTTTTTTATAATTCCTACAATAGCACTGTCTTCTTGCCAAGTGTGCACTATGGGCTGGGTTCTCTAGAGTGATACCTTAACCTATTTGAACAAAGTGTCTATCAGAACTAGCAGGAGCTATCAATGAGGCAAGGATGGAGTGGTGGAGTGGGGTTGGGGATGTGTAATTATCTATAGGATAATAATAGGTTTTTCTGTATTCTCATAATTGAAGGGGGGAAAAGAGAAAAAATAAGGAAGGGAACTTATAGACAAGTGTGTGTGTGTATACATATATATATGTATACATGTATATATGTGTGTGTGTATATATACATATGTATATATATATAGAGAGAGAGAGAGAGGTGTTCACCATGGTGCATATTCTGGTTTGTATTGGCATTTCTTTGCAAATCTTATTAAAATATGTCTTACATTCCATAACTTTATTATGTTTAAACCATGTAGGAATATTTGTATTCTATGAATAATATTATTATCACATCATTTACTTTATTTAGAGCTTGTAACTCATATCTTTTCAGTCTGTTTGCTCATACTAAGAGAGGTCTGTGTTTAATCAGTATTGATTATTGACATGGATGCCTTTCAAAGAATGAGTTATTACTATTCAGATTTTTCTGGCTCCAAAAAAAAATGAGAAGGGAAAATCAGCATGTTGCTATTGGTACACTTTTTTCACAGTTTGAACTAGGGGAGCTAGATGCAGCCTGGTTAAAAATTAAAGTCTTAAGTATTTTACCTATAGTGATCTTTTTCATGTATGTTGTTACAGCATGTTAAGACAGTACCCTTACCTTTTTATTAACAGAGTGAATATTGTCATTAAAGGTTTCAGTGGTCTCACTTTCCGTATTAGACTATCCATAGCAAATGCAGCTAGAAATGAACATCATGGGAAGACCCAGTACAACTGAGACTTCTTCTCATCTAATGAGATTAAAGTTAGTCTTTGCCAACATCCTTTGTGTCTCTGAAACATAAACCATCAGTATATGTGTCTGGAGGCTTTGATTACTTATTCCTTCATTCAGTCATTCCATGCATATTTATTTAGGTCCTTCTATATATTCCAGATAGTATTTTAGGAAATGAATATATATAAATAATATATATGTATATGTACGTATATATGTAATATATTAAGTGCATATATACATGTGTATATATATATTATATATACGTGTGTGTGTGTGTATATATATATATATATATATAATACATAGAAAACAAAAGAAACATTATTATAGAAGTCCACTGTCTGGTTGATGAAACAAGAATTAAAGGTCAACAAACAGGCTGCCTAGGTGGTTTAGTGGGCTAAGCGCCTGACTCTTGGTTTCAGCCAGGGTCATGATCTCACAGTTGGTGAGTTCTAGCCCTGTGCCAGGCTCTGTGCTGGCATTGAGGAACCTGCTTGGGATCCTCTCTTTCCCTCTCTCTCTGCCCCTCCTGTGTTCGCTTTCTCTCTCTCTCTCTCAAAATAAATAAATTTAGAAAAAAAAAAACCACACACACAAGATTAAAAACAAGCAAAAAAAACCCAACAAACATCAAATGAAATTGTGAAAAGCTTAAGAATTGCAAGAATAAGGTGTTAAACAATAGTCACAGTGGGAATCCTCAAGACAGCTTCTTTCATTACGGACTAAATTTCTATTTCTAGAAATAAGGTTAGTAAGAGTGTTCCCTCTCTTTTCTCTCCAAATGACCAAGTCTTTGTAAACAGACTTTATGCAAAAGAATTAGGAATAAGATATGTTAACTTGAATGTTGCCTCAGTTATTCTCAAAATCATACAAGGAAGAAAGGGTAGAAAACTTAGCAAAAAGAAGTTAAATTTTTAGTGTCTCTAATTACCCTAGTCAAGATATAGTGGAGAAGGGAATTGAAATTGTTTTGATAGCCTTGGCATCCTCAAGAAAACTGGCTTGTTACTTGTCCATTCAGAAGAAAAATTACTTTCCTGAATGTCTTGAGGTTACAATTTTGGCATTACCCAGTGCACACTCTGTTATCTAAGCCTGTTTTAAATAGATGGCTAGTTGATCCTTTCAGACTCTTTGGTTAGAGTTGTCTTAATGGCCAATAGGCGTGGCCAGACATTAAGGGACTAGACTAGCTAGGCTCAAGTAACTTAGCAATCTTGTATAAATAAATAAATAAATAAATAAATAAATAAATAAATAAATTCCTAATTATAACTGGTTGGTTTTTTTTTTCAATTTTATCTATAGTTTTGGTGCCCAAATTCAAAGTAGTTCGTTATAATTAGATTGCTCAAGTTGGCTTTAATTTAAGTCCTTAGATTATTTAGGGTCTTATTAAACGTGAAATGTTTTTGAGGGTCTGGAGATACTAAAAAGGATTATTTCAGGAACTTCTACCAAGACTTTAGCTGTGTCCTTATGGATAACAAGAAATAAGTCTTGTAACGAAACAGAAGAGAAAATATTCTATGAGAAAGGTATGCTAATTGAGAAGTCCCTGTTAACAGAAACAATTTGGCACTCATTATTTACTGTATTTTCTTCCAAACTTGTCATATAAATTCAGTCTCTCATTAACTGAATATCATTGATTCATCTTTACTTTTCTTCAGACTTGGTACAGAAGTGTACCCTATATTTATGTTTGTTGAATGTTGCCATGAGAATTTTGGAGATGGAGAATTAAATACTTGTGTTTACATATACATAATGCTTGTGCTTACGTTTTTCCAGATAGAAGCAGAATTACCTCTCCTAATGTTAGGCTGTAAAGGCAACCAAATAGCATATAACCTTTAATTTCCTTCCAAGAAATAGCACAGCAACAAGGCCATGGAATGTTATTTGGTCTTATGTGTTCATTATGGGATTTAAAGTTCTGAGACTATAGAGATGGCCCTTTTTTGTCAGAGTGCTTTTAATACAGGCTTGAAACTGCTTGCATTGGAAAGGGATCAGATTAGGCTCTTATTTTCTTGGCCTCCTCACAAAGGCCAACTTTCCCAAAAGGCTTTTGGTTTTTCTTGAACTGATTGATCCTTTATCACCATCAAAATGGAAAGTGGGTGTGGGCTTATTAAAAAGGGACTAAGAAAGTTGCTATTTAAATCTTTGCTGTACTCTTGCCTTTAGTTTGGCATCCAAGGGCAAATTAAGACTTCCATTTTGTTGAGCCCAAATCACCAGACAATTGATTTAGTTCTGAAGGCTAAATTATTACAATAAGCAAAAACAGGTCTTTGTCCAGTCTTGTTCTCTGTAGATACATTTCTTTCAGTTTGTTGGTAGCAGTGGGTGTGGCTTGATAGCCAGGTAAAGGAGGAACTGTATACATCAAAATTAATAGATTTAGGGACATCGCCCAAATCAGTTGTTATCAATCCCCTCAAAGCTGAATTAAAACTATTTCTTTATATGTCTCCCTTTGTTTCTGCTGTGTGTTCCTTATCCTTCCTCCCAATTTAGTTATTCGTTGTATTACCTCTGTACTCTTCCCTTTAAAGTTATCTATTTCACATCTTTAAATATTGATTTTTCT